TAGTGAAATTTGGACAGGGCTCGCCTTGGCTCAGCCGGGCTCCTCGCATTCCAAACGCGTACAGAAACGCTCCGGGAAGATTTATGCATTCAAACGGGAGAATAACCTCCTGCATATTTATTAACGTGCAGCTTGGATGTGGCTTTGTTTCCTTCCCCTCCACACCCTCTGTGGCTATAATTACACAGCCAGCCCCTGGGCCTGAGGTCCCCGTGAGGACGAGGTTTTGGGATGAACATGCCCAGCTTCGTTTCGGAGGCGCTGCAAATTCCTTTCCTCCCGCTGTCCCACGGGCTGTGCCACTCCTGCTGCCTGCTTGTGGCATACGAGGTTTGCTCCTCTTTTAAAAAACAAGTGAATAAATAAACTCCTAGCCAATCCCAATGGCGATTAGGAGCTGGGTGCTAAAATTCGGGAGGTGCAAAGCAACGCGCCCCACCAAATGCCATTAAGAATCATTGCAGCACACAACAAACTGCATCACCCCTGCAGCCGGAGAAGTGCTGTTGCAGCAGCAGATCCTTCTGCCCCAGGAATGTGGATGTTTGGTTTTTAGGTAGCTAGACCTGCAGTAAAACTCTATGGGAACAAAAAGGAATCGCTGATTTCCATGCGTTAGGAACAGTCCTGATTAAGTTTTCTTCCTAATCAATCAGAAAAGAGGAATGAAATATCCGCACCATGCGTTTGCTTTTATCAATTGGCACCCTCAGCTTTGGGATTCATCCTTCCAACGCAGCCTTGATGGCAAACAAAGGAGCGATTTGCCTTTTTGATCCCCTCTGACATGACAGTCGCTTCCTGCTGGGCTTACAAAGAGCTGAAGGCTGAGCATTCATGCCCAGGTTGTATTCCTGCAAAGCGCAGCTCCAGCGTTTAGTTCTGGAGTTTTCAACACTGGAAAACACATCCAGCAGCCGTAGGCATAGCAGTTGTGTGCAGAGCTTTGCAGTTATCTCCGTGTCCCATCTATTGCTTGGAAAATCCTTGAGCTTTTTCAGTCACTTCTGGGTGTGGGTGAATTACGTGGGTGCTAGGAATCTGAGGAGGAAAGATATTCTAAAAAATTGTAAGAGGAAAAAGGTATCCTTATGATTAATAGAAAATTAAGAGACCAAGGAATATCTTGATAGCTCTTCCTCCCTCGTTTCCTCGTTAGTATGCACTTTCCAGGAGTAGCAAAATGGTTTGTTTGAAGGAAATTAGAAATACGTTCAGGGCTGCTGGGTTATTTCATTTTTGATTTGCAAGGAGACACGACCTGAAGGAGAAATGCTGCTTTTTGAGTGGAATAGGGGCGAAGTGCTGCGTGTAGATGTGTAAAGTAAGGACCACGTAGTCAAGGGAAATTCTTGCTGCTTTACAAACAGTAAGGGCATAGAAAAGGTAACACCCAGATACCCTGGAACAAAGCAAGGAATGAGACCTTTCCTGAGCTGTGGTGCCGGTGTGCAGTTGAAATTTTGTACCAATTTCTATTTGCTACTCTTGGTTTGTCTTCTGCAGAGTGCTGTAGGACTTTAATAATGAGCTGTGTCTCCGTTCGTGTGCATAAATGAATATGTTTGTATTTATATGTGCTTGTGTGATATTTGCTATGCATAGTAGATGGTGGATTAGATATTCTGAATAAGCCAGCGCTAGCAAGAGGAGTTTGGAGCGTGCAATAAGGCTCCAGGTCCCTTTCTTCTTTCACCTATCACTGTTCTGGGGAGGAATCTGCCATCTCACTCCTTTAAATCCCATCTTGAAGGTTAAAAGCCTTCCTCCATCCTCCATCTTCCCTGACAGCCCTTGCCGGAGCGATAACTCCTCGCCTTTAAAACAGGGGAGGGATGGGGGGGGAGAGGGAAGGGGGGGGGGCTGAACCTCCTCTCCAGCAGCATCCCTCAAATTGCAGCTTTTACCCCCAAATCCACCCCTGTGATAAGAGGCAGAGCCGAGCAATTCCTGGTCCTCTGCAGGGTCATTATTCCACCCCGTTATCTGCCTCTGCTGCAGGTCTGGTTTTGCTGACCGCGTCCATCTGGCTGTTCCTGCACAGAATATTCATTCGTAGGTTAAACCCACTAATTGTTGGGTGGTATTTAAATCCTGGGGTTACGCAGATAGCTGAATGCGTGTATTATTTAATGCATTTCGATAAAATGATAGGAATACTTCAAGTTTCCTCTCTCCGAGGCAATTAAAGAGATAGAGACTTCCCTGAGAGCCGGGAAGTTCGGTTGGATCTCACTAAATCAGACACAGCCTTATCTAAACCTCCCTGGAATTGCACGATAACCAAATCTTATCGCTCATGGTTTACAGCCCAGCGAGGAGAGCCTCTTCTTTTTGCTTCTCCATTTCCTGCCGCTTTTTGCTGCTCCAAGCCCAAATATTTTGCAAGACCCCCAAAGTTTTGGTCTGCCCTTCTGAAATCCATCCTCAAGTAACGCCACAAAACAAGAAGAGTTCATTGAAGACCTTCAGGCTTAAAAATAATAATAATCCTCGGTGTCGTGAGCTGGGAAAGAGGCAGGTTGATGCTGCTATTTGGTCTCAACAGGTTTTTCCTATCTGGGGAGACAAGGTTCAAATAGAAACCCAGCCATTTTGAACACAATATATTTGGCAAACTGTAGACCTTGAAACATCTGTTTAAACCTGACTTCAAGCCCTGCTTTCTCG